TGTGACCCCCCCCCCTTCCAAAACCAGAAACCCAACCGAAGACGAGCGGCGAGGGGAAATCTGCTGCGGTGTGCGTCTTGCTTTGTGTTTGAGCGCGGCTCCGGCGCAGAGCTCTGCCGGCCTGCTGCAGCACAAACATCTGGAAGTGTTAAAACTCCTGATGACTGCAGCAGAAACCCAACAGCAGCCAATCGCAGCCTCACTTCCCGGTTGCTCCCTGCCTGTCAGGAAACGGGCCAGAACAGACGGGCGGTCCGGTTAGAGAGTTTTAGAGACGGAGTGAGAGAGTTGAGGGGGAAGAGAAGATAGATAGAAGAGAGGAAAGAGAGATTTTAAGGTGTTAAACGGCAGAAAGAGGAAGATCGTTGTAGATTATTCTTCTGAACATTTAGTTTCTGTGGACTCGGGAAGCCCAGCTGACCTGGTGACCAGAGGAAAGGAGGTAGGAAACGGGAAAACCCAGTCCAGTCTTTAATCTCTCTCTCTTTTCTTTCTCTTTTGTTCAACTCGAGTGATGACAGGAGGTTCAGGTGAGGACAGGGTTGGTGTAGTCTCTGCAGGTGGCGCTGCGTTCTGCGTGTGACTGGAAAACATTAAACACGTCACTTCCTGTGCAGAAGAAGATTGTTTTTCATTAAGAAACCAAATGGACGAAGGGTTTTCAGTGTTTTGCCAAAATTCTTCTTAGATTTTATGGCTTTTTTTTTTTCGTTTTTCGACCCAGAAAACTTCTGGAAGGGAAGGATTTTCTCTTTCTTTATCACCAGCCAACCATTTGAGGGACCAAAAAATGCTTTTTCAGTACTTGGGTTTGGGAAATATGAATTAAAAGTAGAGTAATATTTAATATATCTTGTGCAGCATTAAATTAAACATATGCTTAAAGGTTTCTTTTTCCTTGATTACTAATAATCCTTATCAGTTGTTTGGTCATCGTTGTTTTAACCCTCTTTTTCTATCTGTATCCGTATTAAATAACTTTCCTATTTCATGGAAAAAGTTGCTCAAACACTCAGAAAAAAGTTGAAAAAGGCTCCACAGCTGCAAACATATGTATTCTGTTAGCAAAAGGTGCAGTAAGGTTAAAAGAAAGTGAATGTTTCCATGAAAAGACAACAAGGACCAATCAGGATAAGGCAGGTAGTCACGTGACCTCGTCAGCTGTTCACACAGAGACTCTGTGAATGTCCACCTTCTCTTTGTGCTTTAAATCTGTTTTACTGTCACAGAATAAAGTTAGAAAACAGGACATATGTGTTCAGAGATGAAGTGAAAGTCCCAAGAAGTCCCAGTATTCGACTTTCCCACTTTTTAACACACGTTTCAGTCTACAGCTCTTTTAAACAAACTCTCTCTCTCTCCCTCTTTCTGTTCCCAGGTCGTCCCGACCGACGTAAGCCGGAGCATCGCCACAGGTGAGAGCGTTTTGGCCGTGGATGTGTATTTGATGTCGAATCCCGGTGACTCCGAGAGCTCAGATCTCTTCGAAGAGGTGTTTTGCTCCCGAATAAATCAATAAATCAGTAAATTCTGGAAGAAAGCTTTAAACATTTAAACCTGCTGTTTGACTCCGGCTCGGGACTATTTTCTCCGCAGCGTCTTTGCAGAGTTGCAGGAACTACTTTTCCTCCCCTTTGGTCTGCGGGTCTGACACACTCCTGAAAGTATTTTTGGCTGTTGGCCGGTTAGCATGGCAACTGGCCGGAGAAGTCACAGAGTTTTGCGATTGCGTGTGTGTGTGTGTGTGTGTGTGTGTGTGTTTACAGGGGAAACAGAGCCTTCAGTTTGAGGTAATTTCGCTTAGAAGACGGTAACAAGAGAAACTCGGCTGACTGTTAAAGCCCCTGACGCATCAGCAAACAGCAGACTGTGTTTATTAATCTGCATTAAAGGGAGCAGATGAAGTTAGAGAATCTCCGTGAAATCATTTGTGATTAGTTAAAACCAGCTTTTGTTCTGTTTAGCACGCCACATCGGGCTTTTTATTACCTGGTAATCTCTTCTAACTTCACAAGAACAGATGTTCAAATGATCTCCTAACAAAGTCAGCTGTGAAAAATGGCAGTGTAGGTGTCCAATAAGTGTAAGTTAACACGTCCTGCAGCTGCGTCCCATAAAAGCACAGAATCAGCTGCCGGACGCCGAAGCAGGAAGCGTTGAATTTGCTTTAACGTCCCAGCAGGTTTGTTTAAAGTCTCCAATACGCTTTCTAACTTCAAAACCGACTATACCATCACCACTTCTCCATTAAAAGGTACAAAACTCTACTCAAAAGCTTCATTTCCTGCCTTATAAATCATTTGTAAAACCAGTTCTGCGTTGTTTAATTAAACATCACACTGCCGGCATTTCTTCTGCGGCTGTAAACACATAAACACTTGACGTCTAAATCCTCCTCTTCTCTTCTTTTGCTGCCTTTGTGGTCAGTCTGTTGCTAAACTGGACCGTGAGGGACGCATACACACCCCGAACTGATGCAACGGGGCGAAAGGAAAAGGCTCAGAAGTTTTCCAAACACATAAAAAAAAAAACTGCATCAGCAAAGTGGGACAGGGAAAGTCGACGCCCACCGACTCTGACTTCATAAAAACACAAACTACAGCCTCAGAAATGATCCTCGAGTTGATCTAACACCCCCGACAGCCCGACACAGATCTGTGTTTCTTCTAGTTCAACTCTTTTTCAGAAAACTTAAATTAAAAGAGGAGGTTTTTTCCCATCACTGGTTAAAGTAAAGCCGTGTGTGTGTGTGTGTGGTGTGGTGTCTGTGTGTGTGTGTGTGTTTGGGCAGTGTCAGGGGTGAGTCATGTGTGTCTGTTCATGGTTAGCAGCTCTGTGGCAGAAAAAGAGCCTCAGAGACAGTCAGAGACAAAGACTACACAGGGAAACAAAACAGACTGGAAGACGATTAAAGAGACAGAGTGAGAGAAAGAGATAGAAGAGGAAGAATAAAAACGTCTGGGTGAGTCTGGCTCTGTTGATTCCTAACCCGCCTAGCAACAACTCGATTTAAATACGACGAACTTTGGCTCAGTTTTCAGGCTCCTTCCTCTCGGAGCTCCTGACATATTTTGACAGCGGAAAGGTGAAGTCTGGGAATTTGATAAACACTTCCAAAATCTTTCTCTCCGGGAATTGCACAATGTGCCTTGAGCAGCAGATTCAGTTTAAAAACAACTTTTAACAACCTACAAAGGAAGGAACAGTTCTTTCCATTAACTACTGCAACCTACGTATTTCTTTGGGGATCTAAAGAAGGTTTTTCCCCCCCACACAATAACACACATTTCTTTATTTTACATTGCAAAAGGCCTCTGCAATGTGGCGTTCAGGACACGACAGATATCCCCTTTGTTTGCCAGCTTTTAAGTGTTTAACAGACAGCAACCAGGCATCAGTTCAGTTCTTTAAATTCCTTTTATATGTGCAATGAAAATATCCCTCACATTTAGTCTCTAAGTTCTGGGGTGTTAAACAATGCTTTTCTGTTTTACCAGGATGTGAACTTGAACACTTCCTGTGCCGTCTGCATTTGTAGATATCTTCAGTTTCCTCTTGATTAGGACAAACTGCTTGGTCGTCTTTTTTTTCTCTCTGTTGAAAACATTTACAGAAGCTTTTGCCTCGGAGCAGATTTTGTTGTTTCACACTTGGGAGTGGAGAGGTTTTCCCTGACCTGAGGCTGTTGTTGTTCCGAGAGAGTTCAGAAAGATTTGGTGAAAGTGATGTTGTATCTGGGTGCGGTCCAGTAAAGCCTGAAGCTTTAGTCTGGAGAACACCTGTCTGCAGCAGATGTGAAAGCATCCGTTCTGTGCAGATTGAGGGAAAACAACTGGTTAACGTATCAGGATCAATACAATAAGGGAAGCAATCATTTGTCTACATGTTGAGCAAACTTCCATGTGGACAAAGCGTCAGTATGTGTGTTACGACGGAGTATTAGGGCCATACTAAGAAGAAAAATAAATACGATTTTGGAAATTACCAGAATAAAGTCGTAATGTTACGAGAATTAAGTAATAATGTTACGATGCTGTAATTTGATGCTGATGAGCCAAAAGATTAAGATTATTTCCTTATTTGTGAAACCGATACCAAAGTAT